GGGAAAGAGATTCATTTTTTCCTCTCTCTGAAAATACTTTACCAACGGCACAAGTCATATAACAATTCATCGTCACTCTCAAAAACATGTATTGCACCATGTCAGCACAAAAACAAAGAAATTTTATTGATAACACTCTGAAAAAGGAACTATCCCTGACTTCTGGCTGCTGTATCACAGTCTCAGCACAGTTCCTGGTCCAGATTTATATCTAGCTGCACACCACACTAACCTCCTGAAACAGGCATAAGGCCCAAATCGTGTTCTTGCATATCTTAACTACAACTTTGGAACAAATCCGTCAGAAACTCAAAACTTACATTATTGTAAAAGAACAGTGTTTCCTTCCAAAGGATCCACCTAAAGGTAGAAGATTGGACCACAAGGAAGCAGTGAATAAGAATTGCAGAGAAAGATGAAATCAAAGGACAAAGTGTCTCATCCTGAAGACAGTCACAAATATATAAATACTGGTGTAACCCCCCCTGATTCATGGGAGTGGATGACATAGTAGCCCCAGAATGTTACACATAGTCCCAAATCATAAAAAATCCTTATCTTGTTAAATGAGAGTACAAAATGAGAGTATATTTTTAAAAAGCTACAAATTCTCAAATATATGTGAATACTCCTCGTAGGAACATTAAAAAATCTAGTCTTGGAGTCGGGGGAGTTGGGTAGGGAAGGAATAACCATAAATTAATTAAGACTCCAAGATAATCAGATTTAATGTACAACTTCTCTGTTAACTTTCAGAAAGCTCAAAAGCCTGAAATGTACTAACATTGCATATTTTAAAATGGCTTTAGAAATAGTGAAAAAAGAAATCCCAATCTTCTTAATATGATGTAAATTTAACTTTTTACTTCTGTCCTCTAGTGGTTTGGGTCTTGCATTCAATTCCCCAAATGACCTTTACTACAAACAGACTGTTGTTTTTTCCCGATAATGCATAAATCAGAACTCAAACGGGGATATAGTTGACTGACAATGGTGCAATTTAAACTAGAGACCTGGATTAAGAATGAGAACATTAGTGGTAAGTAAAACAATTGTCTTACCTTAGTTGTTTCAGTGGATGATTCAGTTTTATCTGTCTAATGCAATCATTGGTCACTGAAATTGATTATGGTGATATTATTTCTTTCATTCATTCAAAATATCATCTAACCAAGGTAGTAATTTTGTAATTCCTTTTGGCTTATTTATCTTGCTTTTGTTAAATCTATTCCCCTTCATTACATATTTCTCTACTATAATTATCCATTTTTTATTTTTGACCTTTGCAAGAATCCATTTTTAATATAATTTCCTGTATTTTTAAAAAAATTGAAAACCTTCTTTCATGGTACATGTCTGGCACACTTCACACACACACAATCACATACACACACACACACACACACACACACACACACATATAGAAAGAATGTAGTCATGGTAGCCTATTAAGTTTCATTTAGGTAGTGTTTGGGAGTGATAATGCAGCTTTTAGATAGAAGATCCATCTCCCCATTTCAGTGCTGATTCCAAGTTGCTGGCAATTAACAAATAGACTTCCACCAGTGTGGGATTTACTTTCACTATAGTAAAAACTCTTGGATTATACCCTAAAGTAATATTCACAAACCCTAAAGTACCTAAAACATCAGAGAAGTTTCAGAAGTATATCATGTGTACGTTAAAGAAAACAATGCAGTGTCTTTTGTATGGTTCACTTATTTATTTTTAAAGCTAACTGTGTTGCTCCAGCTCCCTAGAAAAGCTTTTCGAGGCTCTTCACATTACAAATAAATGGCTACTTTAGGTGTAATTTCCTAGTGCCTTTTTGGAGAGCGGAGAGATTCTGGTGGCATTACATTTGTACAGTTTATACTGTAAAGAAGTGTTTTAGCCAGTGTAATAATACTTGTGTAGAATGATAAGTGCTGACCGCACACAATTTCTGTTGACTTGATTTGGAGCTGTGTGTGCTCGGGATCTCTTGTGGTTTAAAGTCCAGTGTGCCCCATGATGATCCAAAAACTTATTTCAGTCACTGAAAAAGGCAAATCAACAACAGAGGTCTTAGTTTAGTTTATGTCTGTTGATTAGGAAAGCAGGCTTTTGGTTTATTTTAATTTTGGTTTTGTTTTTTTAATTGCTGTATTTATACTAGTGTAAACCCTAGCATAGACAGAGATCCAATCATGTAATCACACTTAAAATGAGTATAGTTTAGGCACAGTATATACAAGGATTAGATTCTATATTTATGTCATGCACAGTTATATGTGCATATGTGACCTGTATCTGTAACACAGGGAATTAGAATTACCTTCACAGGGAAAAATTAAAGTACTAAAAGATTAGAGCAAAGGCACCTTGTCTTGGAAGCTGGTGAGCATACTGTCATGGTTTGATTCAATTTGCAGAACTGTTGGCTGTCAGCTGTACTACAGTAGAGGGCCACTTTTAAACATGGGTTGGCCATGCCTGTATGACAGACTTCTTTTAGCTGTGTCAGCTCTACAGCATGTCCCTTGATACAAAACCTTTTCTTAAAGTAGATGTCCAGATCATGTCACTGTACTGAGCTTGAAAAGATTTGATCACAATATATTTTAGTGAAGTGTCTTACTCAAACAGCATCTGATGGAAAGCAAAAGACACCAAGTAACAGGACATCCTCCTGTTGACTCCTGTGAGTGAAGTCAAGGACTCTGAGTGTCCTCCCACTGTCCTCTTGAACAGATACGTTATTATAAAAAAATCTTTCGATGATCTGCAGAGTTGAGATGTAGCATGTTTCCTCTGTTTAGAGCAAAAATGTCTTTCCTTGATATATCACTAATGTTATTACACTTTTCTGTTTGCTAAGTATGCTGTGTGTTGGAATACATATGAAACCTGCAAAAAAAAAAATTTCTGCTTTTGTTCATGTTCATGGACACCTTTAAGAGATTCTACTTCCTTCATTAGATTATATCACATCAGACTAAGTCCATATTCGCTTTTAAATTACAACAGCATCTGAATTGTCTACCACAAAATGTGTCTATGTTGACTTGTGACAATTCTGAAAAAAAAAATCATTTCCACACACTAACAAAAGGGGTAGTGTATCTTGAGAACTCTGTGTATGACAAACTGACATATACAATAAATATGGATTTTACTACAGTAACAGATTGAAATTATATAGTTCATTTAAACCTTTTTTCCAACTTCAGCTTAGCCCCAGCTAAAGCACACAGGAAATAAACATATCGAGCTGTCTGGCACCAGGCAACTATCCAGGTCCTGCTCTGTCTAGCACTGGGTTAGGCTTATCCATCCAATCAACATTAGGAGGTTTATTTATGTGAGACAGATATATTAGTAATAAATGGATTTATTCAGTAGCTTGGTGAATTTGTACATATACAAAATCATTTTAGTTTAAGGAGACTTAAAACTGAGACACACACTATTTTTATGCCCTGTATCCTGAAGCCCTTATTGCAAGTTCTACTCTGCTCTTCACAAGAAAAAAAAAGCTAATCGAAGTCAATGGGAGGTTTGCTGGAAGAAAAACTGCAAAAAGACTTAGAAGTTGGTGCAATGCAAGTCCACATACAGCTAAATGGCAATTCAGATGATTATAGAATATTTATATATATTTTATGCAATATTCCATACATAAAAGTTCAGTTTAATTTGCAGCAAGATAGTCCGTAAAAGGGAAACAACTCATAGAAATATACCCAGAAAGAACATCGGGATTTTTTTCATGACACTTACTTGTACGTTACACAGATTTTGTTCTAAGGTAATCATTTGGCATGCAAGCCAGGTCTGTGCTACGCTGAAATCGGTTTTCTCTGATTCGTCTGTTGTGTTTTAAAAAACAAGACAGATAATTCACTTTAATGCTATGGTTTATCCATTTCAATCAGATAGTAAGTGGCACATTCTCACCTCATTTGCAGTTTTTAATTCCGAATGGACATTGCTTTTGAAATGTCCCTTCTCTTTTCCCCCCTCTATGCTGCCACTTGAAAGTTGAAATGTAGCAAGAATGTAATGTTTGGTGCCAGTTCTCTGAATTACAGGGTGACTGCTTTAGCTGATCCCAAAAAGCAAGTGTCTTTTTATACCGCATAAAAGCTTGAAATGTTTACATATCAAAAGGCTATAGGCCAATTTCTGTCAAAATTATACATGAAGTTAAGCAGTACAAGCAATTTATTTAAACACTAGTCATTGTAGAAAAATTCAAAACCATATGCTCTTTTAGCAGTTTTTCACAAATGCATTTGACCCATGACTTGGCAAGACATGCATGCTTCATAATTTACTCTAAATTTCAAATTCCCTTGACAATTAAATAAAAGATCTTCATTAATAAAGTTTATATGAATGAAAACTTTAGAAGCTGATATTGTTAGAGGGAAGCTTTAGACACAACGCGTTTTGCCTCGTTTTCAACCGACTGACTTTCCTAATCAGTCCAAGATAAGTTTATGCCGGGAACAAATTACCGTAATTGCGCATTGCATGATTTTTTTTTTTTTTTGAAGTAACGATGCAGGCAATTTGAGGCAAACTTGGGGAACGCCGATGGCAAAGGGTGCTGGCAGCGTTGGCGGGCGGGCGCTGGGCTGCGCTGCGCAGCGCTTTGTTCTCGGGAGGGTTTCGCCGCCCGCGATAAGGCGCGAGCTCTGGTTCCGCGCAGCTTCGCCCCGCGCCGGCGGGCGCTGGAAAAAAAAAGAAACCCGAAGCGTTTTGAATCCCCGGAATTTTTCTTTAATATCTTGAAATAATAATAATAATAAAAAAACTACGGCCGATTCCTCAACAAGCGCATTTTCATAGACTTGTGTACGGTGATTGCTTTGTATGAAATCGTGTTTGGGTAATAATATTGAAAATCAGTGTAGTGTTTACTTTATTTCATACCTAACACCTTGCTCTGCCCGCGGCTGTACTCCTCTTTAGATCTCTCTTTCAACCCATGCTGTGACTGTCTTCCAGTAACAAACAATCGCTTAGCAACACTATGCAGCACAATTTGCTTGCGTTTCATTTGTTATTACAATTTCATCCCGACATTGTGTGACAGCTGATTGTTTGTTTAACGCAATATTAGGTTCGCAAAGTTAGCGAGGAGAGGATGCGAAAATGAGAAAATCCTAGAGCAAGGTTTTGCGCAGTGTATATCAAAACGGGTTTGCACGGTAAGACTTCTAAGATTAAAATAAAAAAAAAAAACCTAAACCAAACCAAAACCAACACCTCCCTAAAAACAAACAAAAAAAAACCCAAAACAAAAAACTTCTCCAATGGAGTGAGAAGTTATTTGAAAATGAATTCTAGCCAGTAAGTAAGAATAAATGGGAAGCATTGCAGTGTGGTTGAGCATCCTTTCGCACAGCCTTCCAGATCGAAAAACGCACTGGGAAGGCGAGTGATGGCCCAGCGAAAGCGGGGTGTATCTTGCCAGTAGTGATATAGCGCCCGGCTGATGGAGCGGAGCCCCTGCGATGCCCAATTTTGCCCCGCCGCGCCTGCTTTCACCTGCAAGAAGCCGGACAGCAGCAGAGATGAAATACCGGTGCGAGCGGTGCCACGTACCGAGGAGAAGTCAG